CCAGAATTCCCCAGCCAGCATGCTGGCTGGGGAATTCTGGGAATTGAAGTCCACATGTCTTTAAGTTGCCAAGGTTGAGAAACACTGTATTAGCAAAACAGTATTATAAGGTTGCTTCATTATCCTTTCAGTTAAAAACAATGAAATTAAGGCTAGAATGTTTTTTGGGCTGAAAGACAAAGTAAAAATATTCCAGGGAGAGAAATACAATATTCTGTGACCGGTGGAAATCAGAGAGATGTTGATCCCATTGCTAATGTCGCCCAGAGTTTCTCCTGAAGAGGACCCCCTTTTTCATGCCATCCTCCCCATTGACTTCTGGGGTGCCCCGACCAGGCAAAATGTCCATTTCAAGTGGACCATCTTGGCATCTCCCGCACTTGAGGGCCCAAGAAGCAGCTGTCTGCAGAACTCAGCTGAGCCCTCTTCACTTTCTCTTTAAAAACGCAGAGCGAGAGGCCGGAGGGAGGATGGATTTAGGGCAGGGAGATTTATTCCCGTTTGGGATGACTGTAATGTTCGACCAAGAAATCTCAACTCGCACAGCTTTCCTGAGAAGTGGGGGGGGGGGGGGGGAAATGGGAAAATGTCCTTGCAATGGGATTGGCTTCCCAGTGCAAGTGAAATAAGCCATGAAAAATAACATAAAAATAATCCTCCCCAAAGACCAGAAGACTCCCCACCCAGGAGTCAAGTGCCCCAAAAGAAAAAGAAAAAGGGAATAAAAGAGAATTTCAGAGCATGAGTCTTTGAGGGCTGCTCAAAGTTCAGTGGAAGTTGTCCCCAGTCGAGGTTGCTGTGACTTGGTCCCCTCCGTGTAGGTTGGATTCAAGCCCTTGCCCCCGGGCCATTCAGCTTGTGGATGATGGGACTGTAGTAGGCTCCAGGGTTTTCATTACAGTAGGGATCAGGGCCGTAAAATGCCTTGTGCTTGGCTCGGGGCTTAAAAACCAAGCCAGGTCAGTTTCTCTGGCGCACACAGACCCTTTTTCCACTGTGAACTTTCCCTTTTGCGCTCCAAAGGGCAGAAGGGCCCTCGGCCAATGCCTGGGGGGGGGGGCAAAGGAATTAAGGGCCAGCTGGAAGCAAAGTCCGGCCTGCAGATGCCCTACCACCCCCTTGACGTCTCTTGTCAAGCGGCAGGGCCCCTCCTTGGCCGAAGGTCTCTGGAGAGCTTGCAAGAGGACCTGGCGGTCGAAGCCTCCCATCCTGCTGTCCCACACCAGAAACCCAGCCCAGCAAGGCGGATGGGTGAAAAGGAGAGCCTCTGAGAACATGCAGATTACAACGCTCAGCCTAGAACTAGTCGAACCCTCGACTGCTAAAGGCAAGCTTTTCCCATGGCAGCAAGTCCAGTGTCGTGAATTCAGCACTGGGGTGTAGTTGGGTGGCATGGCACCGCCAGGCACATCCAAAATTGGCACATCCAAAGGTTTAGGGCCACCTGCAAGGCCTTTCCACCCCTTGCCATCAGACGAACATTTTTGCTATGGCAGAGGTGTTGGGGAGGGGGTCAAAAAAGTAAAGCTGGTGGTCGCAACCATGAAATCCAAGTCACCTCTTTATGACTGTCACCATGCCCCATCTTTTCTGAAATATACTTTTCTGAAATATTATTTTATTGCCACTTGTACGCCACCCCCAACCATCCAGACAGACCTGTTTGGCTTCAACCCTACATTAAATGGGGCAAGAGTGCAAACGCTGGAGCCGCACCAGGCTCTTGTGTCAGCAGGGAGTGAAAGCCCCCCAAGTAACCCCATTGCAGGGGATGCAGACAAGGGCCCCGATGTTGGGAGGGGGCGGGAGGCAGGATCTTTATTATTATTTTATCCCACTTTTTTTATATATAAGCCAAGGTGGCGAACATAGCTAATACTCCTGCCTCCTACTTTCCCCACCACAACAACCCTGTGAGGTGGGTTGGGCTGAGAGAGAGGGGCAGGCTAAAGGAGACCTAGAACTCACTGTCTCCTGGTTTCTAGGCCAGCACCTTAACCACGACACCAGACTGGCTCCATGGGCTACTTGCAAAAATAATAATAATAATACCACCCGTAGAGGAAATGCATATTTAAAATTGGTTATTTGCAGCAGGTTGTACAGCTTTCACAATACAGAAACAATAAAAGTCCTTCAACGAGGAAGAGGAAGAGGAAGGAGGAGAATATAGCAACTTTTCCCCCTCAGACTGATATAACTGATAACACTGACATCTGTGCAAAAATTGTAATTTTTGAGTGTCCCAAATACCATATAATTACAAAATTGAAAAATTTGTTGAAATAAGGATTTGGGGTATGGGGAAATGAGGATTTTGAGGATGGGATTTTCACATATACGTTGATCACCACCTAGAACACAACACCCCAGAGAGAATGATCATTGAAAAGAGAAGAGTAATTTTGGTAGATGCAGCAACGCCCAGGCACGGCAGAATCGAGGAAAAAGAATTGGAAAAACATTCAGAATAAAAAGATCAAAATGGGTTGAAAGTCACCCCTTTAGTTATTGGTTTTTTAGATGAAATAACAGATTTTTTTTTTACAAAAATTAAATATTACAACTATATTAATTGTGGTTTTGAAAAAAAAAAAAATCTTACTGAGCACGATAACTAAGGTTACCTGGATAATTCCCAGGTTCCTGCCTGGAACTTGAATTTCTACAAAATTTCTACAGTCAAAGAAGGGGTTTTCTTAGGTTGTTCTTTGAACTGTGTTACTCCTTGATGAATAAAACATAATTCTGCCCCCCTAGCCTTACGTAGCAACTTCAATCCCAACCAACTCTAAAATTACAGCCTCCCTCATCATCTGTCATTATATTCTGAGAGCTCTAAAAAATGGTTAAATAAAGACATCCAAGCATCCTCTCCCAAAATGATGTTTATCCTAAATTCACCCATACACGCTGCATATAAAGACTAAACGGTACGTTTTCTTTACAGCTTCACCCATCCCACGTCAGACTACATCACACATCGCCCCCAGCCAGCATGGCCGAGTGGTAGGGCTGGGAGTGATGGGAGAGGTAATCCAACATGCCCAGATTGCCCCCTGCTGGGCACTGATAGGTGGCACTTGGAGCTGAACGTTTCTTTCTCTTTGCTAAGACTTGGCACAGGATCGATGCCTTGATCCGCTGTTGAGGCAAGTGATGAGTGGGGGGGGGACAGGGGGCCCCTCAGGGCCACCTGGAGGATGCACGGGAGAAGGGGTGCATTTTGCAAAAGCCTGCAACTGGAGAGGGAGACCCTTCCCACCCCCAGGGGTTTGCATAGGCAGGTGACTCTTCCAATACCTGAGCGGAGGCTGTTCCCCCAGATGCACAACCCCCCCCGGCGGGCTTCCGAGAGACCACCCGCAGCAGAGGACCCATCAATCGGGCAGGAGGGAGGAACCATCCGGGAGGAGGGGAGCCTTGGCACAAGAGAAAAATGTGCAGGGAGAGGGGCAAAAAAGTCACGATGGCGGCCCAGCCAGGGCTTTGATCATAGGGCAGGGCTGCCATCTTGACTTTTGATCCTCTGCAGACACCCCATGGCAAGGAGGGCATCTAAGAACCTCTCACAGACACCAAGGAGGGAATTTGTGCTGGGCAGCTATTGGGGGTAAGGGGGGGCGTTAGGCAAGAAACCCCCTGTGGGGCAGCTTGCACCCAAACAGGGAGCGTCCCCGACCCCGAGGTGGCTGAGGCCGTTTCGGCTGAGAGATTCTGCCGGCTGGGGTGTCCAACGCTGGCGTTTGAGCCCACCCAGTGCCAGGGGCTGAGTCCGCGATTGGCCAAGGAGGGTGGGTCCTCTGGCTGCGCTCTGCAGCCCCACCCCAAGGCCCACAGGGCAGCCCCCACGCGGGGCCAAGCTGCTGAGCGGAAACCCCTTCGAAATGGGACTTGTCCTTTCCTCTTCTGCCCATGGAGCGGGGCCTCCAAGAGGAAGCCGGCAGCGAGGCAAGGGGCGCCCCACTCCAGGGCTGTGGAGAAGGGGCCAGGGAGTCCTCTGGGCCTGGCACCACGAGGGCCGAAGGGAGGCCGCGGCTTCCCCATCCGAGGTTCGATCTTCCTAAAAACCAGCTCCTTGGCCCACCGAGGAAAAAGACTGTTCGTTTAAGGCACTGGCAGGTAAATCAGTAGTAAGACATGACCTCACCTAGCTGCAATGAGTAACTTTCTCACACACACAAACACTCACTCACTCACTCACACACACACACACACACACACACACCCATCTGATCTGGCCCAGAGCCCTCCTCCCTGCCCCCAGCTCTGGAGCCGCATCCACCTTTGGACCCCTGCAGGCTCTCAGCTCTTCAAGGGGGTCTGCTGTGCCACCGGCCCCACCTTGCAGGAGGGGCACTTTTCGGGAGAGAGGGGTGCAGGGGCCACCGAGGTCAACCGGCCACCATCTCCGGCCTCCCCACCGACCCGGGCGTCCTGCCCAGCCGGCCAGGCCAGGCAGCTGGAGAAGTTGGGCACCGTCATCAGGAGAAGGCTGCCGGCCAAGAGGAAGGAGCCGGCAGCTAGGAAGGACGCCGCGTAGTTGCCCGTCAGGTCTCTCAGGGCGCCTGAAAGAAAACAGCCAAAGGTGAGCCGGAGCCAGCCGGGCCTCGGGTGAACGGTGTGCGGCTCAGTCGCCAGCAGCAGTCGCCCTGTGCATCAGTGGACTCAGAAAACAGGCCACCAAAAAGAGACAAATCGCAGAGGATAAAACCATGGAGGACCCAGAGGAAGACCTCTTTCTCCCTTTCTCCCAAGACTGGGCCAGGGCACAGTTCTGCTAATGCCTGTATAGAAACCGAGGGCCCGCTGGCAACTGGAGCGCCACGGGCAGGTCTGGCGGCTGCTGCAAACCAGGGGTAACAGAGCCGGAAAAAGTGCAGAAGAGGACAAGCGAAGGGACCAGGGGCTCCAACACCTTCTTGCAAGAACATCTGGGACAGCTTAGCACAAGAGGGGAGACCTGGTGCAGCTGTGTAGTTTCCTGCCCAGCCTGGAGAAAGCAGACAGGGAGAAGCTATTCTCCCTCTCGATATGGGGACCAGTGGTCATCCAGTGAAGGTGGTTGGAAGGAGATTTAGAAAGACAAAAGACTCATCTTCACCCAGTGCATAAATAACCTGTGGAATTCACTGCCACAGGATGCAGAGATGGCCACCAATTTCGATGGAATTCAGAAGGGACTGGAAATACTCCTGGAGGACAGGTCTACCTTATGGGCCTTGAAGACTCCATGTTACCTCTGGATGGAGGGCAGACACGCAAGCAAAATACGTTCAGGCATGCCATTGATTGATTGATTGATTATTTGTGTGCTATAATTACTTCCGAAAGGCCTTCCTGAAGAGCCATGTTCTCACCTCCTTCCTGAAGGGGGGGGGGGGGGGGCATCCTTCCTTCTGGGAGCAACCAGTTCCACAGGAGGACAGCTGCAGTGGACAGGCCACCTTCCATTGTACTTCCTGGTAGGGGTGGACCCTTGGCCCTGAGCCATATAGAGCTTCGTAGGCAGGGACCACCACCTTGAACTACACTCAGAAACTTACTGGTAACCAGTGCACCTCCTACAGCAGAGGTATAATGTGGCAGAATCATGAGTGACCATTGAACATGCGTGCTGCTGCATTATGGACCAGCTTAAGCTTTTGTGTGGTCTTCAGACTCAGCTTCGTGTAGAATGATTTACGGTAATCTATTCTAGAGGTGCCAAGGGTAGCGAGTGACTATCTTCAGTGCGCCCTGTTCCAGGTAAGCTTGCAACTGTTGCCCCAACCACAGCTGTGCAAAAGGTCTCCTGGATATGGTCTCCACCTGGTCTCAGAGGAGGCTGGAGTCCAGGAGGACCCCCAGAATGCGAGACTGCTCTTGGGGGACAAAGATAGTGCAGTTGGCATCTAAATCAACAGCCACTTCATCTTGTCTGGATTAAATTTGAGGCTCTTTTTTCCCCACCTAGATCTTGATAGCCTCCAGACAGCAAGTCATGACTTCCACCCCAACTGGGTATCATCTGCACATTGATCATACTTCACCCCAAACTGACAAATGATCTCTCCCAGGGTTTCCTCTGCTCCCCACTCCCCAACCACCATCTGGACCCACCTACTCTGGCAGGAGCAGAACCACGGCCACCCTGAGCCACCAAATCCCAACCCTTGTAGGTGGTCCAGAAAGCTACTGTGGTCAACAGTACTGAAAGCTGCTGAGATCTAGGAGGACAAGGATGGTCACGCCACCTCTACCCAAGTCCCGCCACACGTCATCCACGAGTGACCAATGCAGTTTCCATCCCACGCCTGGTCTGAATCCAGGCTGTCAGAAGTCCAAATCGGCCATACTCTGCAGAGCCCTCTCCAATGCAATGCCATCATTTCCTCAGATACTGTCCCAAAACAGGACAGGTTGGAGATGGGACAACAGCTGGCACTGAGCAAGTGAACCAGTTCCTCTTTAAGAAATGTGGGTGTCTCTCCTTGCCTCAAGGAAGCACTGACTACACCCCAGGTCCAACTCCCAGTCCTCTCCTTGGCTGCTTATATCAGCCAAGCAGGGCAAGGATCCAACGAGCAAGCAGCAGAGCCAAGATCACCAAGGCCTCTGCCCACTTCCTCAGGATCCACAGGCTCATAAACCTCCCAGATGAGTCCACAAGATGTCACCTCTGGCCTCTCAGAAGATCCTCCCCCTCCAGTTTCCAACTTGGCGTGGATGTGAATGATTTTGCCCACCAAATGCTCAGCCAGATGATCACAACTCACGCTGACTGGATCTTCCGGACCATCCTTCTCCCTGTATAGCGGGCCAGCTTTCTGTGAACCCAAGGGTGGAGAAGTGCTTTCCCACCTGCGTGATACAGAACAGGCTTGGACCTGGGCCCTTACTCCTGCCTGCTTGGACAGGCTTCTTGCTTGCTGCAGGCGACGCTCTAGATGTCTCTTCACCCGCTTCATTTCCTGGAGCTCCTCAGCTCACTGAGGCGCTACATGGGGTCAGCAGGTGGGGATAAGTGCTCAGGGGCAATCCTATGGAGGATCCTAACCCTCTCCATATCCCAGAGGTCAACAAGGCACCCAATAGATCACTGGGGAACTCCCCAAGCACCGCCAGAAAACCTACAAGATTCACCAGACAACTCAACACCCATCTGGTTGTGTTTGCTTCCTCCTCAGCCCTGGATAACTGTCAGGCCGGGGGGAGCCAGAAGAACGAGCTCTGAATGTGCCACCCACCTGACAGGGGGGACCCCAAGAGTCCCCCAATGCTCTCTATCATCTGCAGCAGCCCCATGGAACTGAAGATGTTTTCGATGCCCACGATCTCAGGAACGATGGAGAAGACCACAGGTGTCAGGGCTCCAGAGAAGAATCCGTAGCCAAGGCTAATGGCCACGAGGATGGGGTAGGTGCGGCCCCAGGGGATCAGCAGCAAGGAGATGCCCGTCAGAAAGGTCCACGCCACCAGGATGTGGATCAGCTGAGCTGACCTGCAGCTGCCCAGCCAGCCAGAGAAGAGGCGACCGCAGAGGTCCGCCACTGCCGCCAGAGACATCAGAAAGGCCGCCTGGTACTCATCGAACTCCAGCTCTCTTGCCCGGGCCACCAAATGGACATAGGGGATAAAATAGCCCGTATTGACCAGCGTGATGGCCAAGACAAACCGCATGAAAGGGCAGTGGGACAGAAGCTGCAGCCCAAAGAGAGCGGAGACCGTCTTCCGGCACGGCCCCGCCAGCCTTCCGCCGGACAGGTCCTCCTTCAGGGTCAGGGGCCGGATCAGGGCGCCGCAGACTACGAGGTTGAACGACATGCCTGCCACAATCATCAGGGCCCCCCTCCAGCCATAGGTGTCGACCAGGAATTGGAAGAGAGGGGAGAAGGCAAAGGAGGAGAGTCCCACACCAGTTAGGGCCAAACTGGTAGCCAGGGTCCGGTGCTTCTTGAAGTAGCGAGCCACAGAAGCCATGGAAGGCGTGAAGACCAAGGCCCAGCCGAACCCTGCAACAAAAGAAAAGGCTCCCTCCAGCTTCCCTGCCGAGCAGCCACCTTTCCTGAAAGACAGAGATCTTCTACAGCTTATTCCAAGACGGCAGCAGCCACAACCAGCAGGACCGTTCTCTTCTTGCTGGCAGCCATCTTGGAACAAAAAGTAACTTTGCCTTTGACTTACAGGTAGTCCTCATTTAACAACCACAATTGGGACCAGAATTTAGGTCGCTAAGCGATGCGATTGTTACGCAAGGCATCATGTGACCGCACCTGATTTTACGACATTTTTGTGGTGGTCGTTAAGCAAATCATGCAGTTGTTAAGTGAATCACGGGGTTCCCCATTGATTTTGCTTGCTGGAAGCTGGCTGGGAAGGTCGCAAATGGTGATCCCGGGACGCAGCAACGATTGTAACTTTGGGAGCCGGACATAAGTCCCTTTTTTTTAGCACTGTTGTAACTTTGAAGAGTTGCTAAACGAACTGTCGTTAAGCAAGGACTACCTCTATCTGCTTGCTCATGGGATTTATAGCTGTCACAATCAAGTTGGCAACAAATAGATATGGCAACGTAATTAAAATGTCTGCAGGAAAGCATAAAAATAAGCAAAACTCCCAAAAATTTGGAAGCAAAAACCCAGTAACACTCTCGGACTGCATCTTTCCACTGGAATTGGCCTGGAATCAGGAGCCGCAGCCAATTATCCCCCATTCGGGGAAGTTGGGAGGGGCAAAACCTGGAGGGGCTGCTTTTCTGCCATCGGGAAGCCCGACCGGTGCCAATTCTGGTTGCTTTCTGGAAGCAGCTGAAAACAGCTTTTCCCGGCGGTTGTGTGTGGGCCAGATGCTGTTCGGGGTGCGTTTCTGTGCTTTTGAATGTTATTACTATGGAGGTTTTGTTCTCGGCTGGAACCTCTTGGGAGCCCACCTAGGATTGCAGCGGGATATAAATTTGATGAATGAATAAATAAGTAATAACATTCAGCCGCTCAGCAGTGTCATCTCAGACGCCGTAGGCCAGCGTTTCTCAACCTCGGCACCTTTCAGATGGGTAGGCTCCTTCCTTGCTGGCTGGGGAATTCTGGGAGTTGAAGTCCACATGTCTTAAGTTGCCGAGGCTGAGAAACGCTGCTCTGGACTTAAAGGGGCTGGCTTGCAAGAGATGGGGGTTTTAGAAGTAGGTAATTTCAGGGCAAGGTTTGGGCAGGTCGCTGGGCTAGGGAGCGATTGTGGGATTTCCAGTAACGTACCTGAAAGAAGCCCAATGCTGAGATATAAATGCACCAGACGGGTGGCAAACGATGCCAACAGAAGCCCCAGGGCTGAGAAACACCCACCAGCCATGATAACGGGCCGAGCCCCATAGCAGGAGCTCAGGGCACTTCCTACTGGACCTGCAAGGAACGACAGACCCCAGTTACTCCAGCCCTGTTGCGTGGAACACCCTCCGCTTCCCGGTGCCAAAGCTGCCCTTGGCTCTTTACAGCCATGGGGATTCTCCGGCCAGGGCATGTGCCCGTCGGGCCTTTCCTTTGGAGCCGCCACAGGCCAAGACACAAGTTCCGTCCAGAGAAGCTGTGCCCTTGTCACCCATTCCCACGCTACCAAAGTTGGAATGCTTATGCTTATCCCGTAGCATCCCTGACCCAAAGGGAGGATGACTCTGGTTGGCTGTTTATAGCACCCGCAGGTCAGTGTTTCTCAGTCTCAACAACTTTCAGGGAAGTGAATTCTGGGAGTTGAAGTCCATCCACCTTAAAGTCACGGGACTGAGAAACAGTGCCTGGCTGGGAATTCTGGGAATGGAGATCCACCCACCTTAAAGTCACGGGACTGAGAAACAGTGCCTGGCTGGGAATTCTGGGAGTGGAGATCCACCCACCTTAAAGTCATGAGACCAAGAAACAGTGCCTGGCTGGGAATTCTGGGAATGGAGATCCACCCACCTTAAAGTCACGAGACCAAGAAACAGTGCCTG